GAGATGGTGGCGTCATAGGTCATGGGATTAGCCTAATGACTTTAACAAGTTTATAATCATGACTGCACATTAAACGGCCGTAAACATGGCCAAAAATACCACATTGTTCCATATTTCAGACAACGTGTATGGCCCCACTGCTGCTGTAAGGACCCAGTGGGAGAGCTCGGGGGAAACTGTTAAAGAGCAAATATTCTGTATTATTCCTGTTCATTTTGAAGAGAGAATAATATGTCAGAATACTTTGGTGCTTCATGTAATAGGATGGGAAATTGTTTTTCTCCCTTTTAATCATGTTACAACATTGTTCCTCATCAGTCACAGACCTGGAGTTGTTTTTAGATCCGCGCTAATATTAGAAACTTCTGGAACAAACATGTATCTCAGCTCCTTCCGTCTAAAAACTCTTGGCTGCGTCCAAAAATCCCTCCTGCGCCTAATTATCGACCTTCTGGTCAGGTGAACCTTAAGGATCTGGAAGGATGTAGGACGGAGAGGGGGTTCAGCAGCTCATTTACCAACTTCGACTAGTCTGAGCTCAAACGTCAAGGAAAACTACAGGAAACTCTGTACATGCTTTTCAAAGCTTATAAAGCTTTTGAGGGCAACGTGAATGCAGAATGCATTGTGGGAAGCATCATACTGCTTCGAGGAACATTCCCAGGTTCCTACGCTAAAACGGCTAATAACGGAAGCCTGGAGGTTTGTTTCCTTATTGTTCCTTGACATTAAAGTCCAATTTGAATTCTCTTTGTCATGGCCTTGATGCATTTACAGTGTTTGGATGAAGGGCCTGTCTCATGCCATGTTCATGCAATCTTGAAAACTCGGGAAACCACACCCCTCTCGGAAAAAATGGGAATGGAAATTGGAAATTCAACTTGGAAGTCAATAGAGTCAATAGTCCCAAATTTCCATGATCAAATGAAAGTGGCATTGGTCCTGCAATAGTATGAGGTCATTGTACTACATTGTGTTTGCAGCCGGTAATTTCAACTTTGGAAAAACAAATATGTGACTCTGGTGGTAGCATAGGTAGTTGTGGGCCGAAAGTATTTTCTTTAGATCAGGTTCATGTTCAGAAATGGATAGTACACAGTAGAGCTCTTGCCACAGTGCATTGGTGCCTTGGCCTTCATACTTGTTCCTTCATATACATTCTACTGAAGATATTAATTCAAATACTAAAACATTCCTCCACACTTTCTTACTTGCAAAATAAACGTTTATTGAGAATTCAGCATTTCGGCGTTAAAGTAGCAATATGTAAGATTTCAGATTCAGATTCATTTATTTGCCATTTGCAGTAAAACCACATTGGAAAAACTGTGCAAGACTACCCCAGTGTGTACCAGAGGGCACACACCAGAGCTCCTGCCACGGCGCCATCTTTACGGCGCCATGCGTACATTTTCATGTCAAGTCATCATTAAATGGCCCTAATGTCAAAAGGCATTAATAAACCATGCTCTTTTTGAATATCTCTATAACTTTCAACAGTATTTCAGCAGAGATGTTTGTATTTAAAAATTAGATTTAAAGCCCCTTAAATTGTTTTCCTTTCGATGTCCCGCCCTCCACTATTTTACCAATCAGAAAGTCTGGTAAAGTAACATGTGGCCGCAGTACTAAAAAAGGTCTCAAATCATTATGACAAAACAAGGAATAAAACGTGTATTTTTATCGGGGCCTTTGTGTAAAAGGTGTTGGTTATAGATATTTAGATATTAGATATACCATTTAGATAGTAGTACAGTCCTCATCTGCATATCTGGCAACCTGAGTCAGGGAGAGAGGGAGAGGTTGCAGTACCACTTTTGGCCAGATTTGTACAGGATAGGGCGGGCACCTAACCTTGCCTGCAAGCTGAATTCTCGCGGTATTTGTGAGTTCACAAACACTTGAGAATACATCTTGCCCCGCTCCGCTCCCGCCAACCCTTTTCGAGTAGAACATCTAGGTGTTCAAGCCAATCACGCGCCAGTCTGGGGGTTTAGGGCGGGATATCCGGGTTTGACGAAAGCAAGACGTGCCGGGCCGAAGCAAAACAAACATGGCTACACAGGAGGACGGACGTGTAGCTGAGGCTATCAAGTCAGTTTTAGCAGAATCTCCAATTTCTTTTTTGAAAAATGAACAGCGAGAGGCGCTTTGTGCATTTCTGGACGGCAACCTTGGTAGGCGGGCACACAGCGTCACTTCGCCCAATCAGCTTGAAGTATTCTGCGGCTTATCCCTCCTTTCCCCGAAAGGATTCTCCTGCAGAAGTCCCAGATTGATATTGTGGAGAACGCATTAGAGTTCTACACAATCATCAATCTGGCTCTTGCCAGGTTAGCGGGCACCCCTAAGGTGTACAATCACCACACCCACAGAGCATTTCACAATAAATCACAAATACAAATGAGTGAAAACTGTCAAATAATATAATATATATACATTTTCAATTAAAGTCTAAATATATAGTAGAAATAAATAGATATAGGGTACGCAAATAGTCACCAGACAATGAAACAACACCAGTGTGATATAATAATAACAATGCCTTCAAAGGGACATTGTTCAATTTTAAATTTTAATCCACTTCATCCGGCAACGAATGAAGCGGAAGAAAACGGACGGACGGACAGTGTGATATATACATTTCACCATATTCGCACAATACCTCATCAAAAAACATCAAAAACTTGTTTTTACTTATTTCTATCTTAATAAAACAGAGCTGTTTTTATAAATGAGGAACCAGGTTGATATAGCTTTTTCAATTTATATTTTTTTCTGATAGCGTTGTCTGATAAAATGAGGCAATATGATTTAATTTACAATACCAAACTATAAATAATAACAATGCCTTCAAAGGGACATTATGCAATTTTCAATTTTAATTTGAAAAAAAAAAATTGAACAAAAAATACACGGACCATTGTACACCTTAAAGATAACTTTCAAACCACCAAAAAGTACTATGTAATGAAATCCAACTAGTTGGATGGGTTTAACTACAAGTACTTTGTTTCTGGCTCTAAAATACGGAAGCTTGTTAGGTTCACTTGTGGGTGTGTTTTTTTTTCACTGGTATCATGTTATTTCAAGATAATTTCATGTTATTTCATGATACTTTCATGTTATTTCATGATACTTTCATGTTATTTCATGACACGTTCATGTTATTTCATGATACTTTCATGTTATTTCATGATACTTTCATGTTATGTCATGATAATTTCATGTTCGTACAAGATACGGATCATGTTATTTCATGATACACAACTATCATGTTATTTCATGATACCAATTTATCATAAAATAACATGAAATAATCTTGAAATAACATGAAATTATCTTGAAATAACATGATACCAGCGGGAAAAAAAACACACTCACAAGTGAACCTAACAAGCTTCCGTACTAAAACATTTTGGTTCTATCACTAGTTTTCAAATGCATTGGTCTTTCATACTCTGTCACATCTTGAGATCATCTTTTGAATCCAGAAAAAGAGGGAAGGACACTCTGTGACTAAAGGCCCACAGGCGGCGCTCCACACTGGGCTTACTCACTTCCCCCAACAGCAGACCCATGGAGAGACCACAGTCCACTGGTCTAGTCCTAATCTGTGAGAGAAGTGAGTAAGCTCTACTTTGCACGGTTGCATATTTGGAAGGAAGAGCCGTGTGAAGGGGTAATCCAGCCTGAGTCACTTGTGTGTAAATGCAGCTCTATGGACGTGCTGGTGACTCATATTCATGCATGTGAACACTGATAATGACACACGGGAACAATTGAGACGCTTTTTGTTTAAAGATGTGTTTAAGAAAATGTTCTGAAAACACTCAAATTGGTGAAAATGACGTTTGGCATTACTACGTAGTTGGTATTTCTGTGCCCTATGTATATTTTGGTAAGTGTGGGTGAAGTGTCTTGTCTAAGGACACAACAACAGTTTGGCATTTTACTGCTGCAGCTACTGAGGCACCTGCTGTCAGAGGTCTCCCATCACAGTATTAACCAGACCTGCCCTGCTTTGCTTTACGGCTCTGAAACTGTTGATTCTGTGTTGGATTTCACAGGTGGCACCAGCTTGAGGAGAATAATTACAGTTAGTGGATGTGTTTTCAACCTCTATTTTGTCCTGGTGCCAATCGAAGCAAATTAGTGATTAATCAATGAAAGCATTATATCTGCAGAAGACACGGGCTGCATCTCAAATCATACAAGTCTTTCCTTCTTGACATTGTGACATAAAGAGAAACATTATATTTGGCCTTCATATTCCAAAATTATTCCTCACAAATCAAAGAATAAACGTGGTTCTATTCTTGATTAAATACACAACAGACATGAGGCCATATTATCGATGACAGCTTTACAGTGCTGGTTCTTCAGCTGAGGATCCAATCAGAGCGCAGAAAGGGACTGTCATTTGTGTTGCCACCTCAGCAGGTGAAGCATATCAGTGTCAGCTCAGCAGCAGCATGAGCAGCAGCAGTATGTCCTCAGTTTCAAGGTAAATATACTGCTAACTTCTTGAGTGCCTGGAAAGAGGGTGTATAATTAACCCCATGTTTATTTAGAACTGTATTTGTGATTTCTTCCGTACGTTTTGCTTTTAAAGCTTTTTTTCAGTGACTGGTGATTAACTGTGTTTGAACTACTTGATTCTCTGATCTGTGATGTCGAAGGATGGCTTTGTAAAGTTCTCTGAGGTCATTTAGGGCTAAAACAAAATACATTGAAATGGACTGAAAAGTTTGAAACCAACTTTTTTTTAAAAAAGGATTTAGTTTTGAATGTTATCCACTTGTATTAAATTGTAACATTTTGCATCATGTGTGGAATTCTTGACGGGGGCCTGCGTCCGCTTATTGCGTGGGACCGGCCCTGCTCATAAGAATAGAAAATCCAAATATTGAAATACATAAAAAAAAAAAGTTTTAGTACAAATTCAGCAGCAGCCCACACTCGCACTCACTCTCCTTTCCCTTCCCTCCTCTCCTCAGACATTACGCACGGAGCGAGAGGGGCCACGCAGACTCCACCCAGCGCATAAAAATGAGCAGCCCACACCCACGGCTCACCCAAAGCTCTGCCGCGGCTCCTCCACACCCAGGCAGCGGCCCATCCACCACCACCACCACCACCAACAGCGACAAGGACAGCGCAGAGATGCCCGCTACGGAGAAGGACCTGGCCGAGGACGCGCCGTGGAAGAAGATCCAGCAGAACACGTTCACTCGTTGGTGTAACGAACATCTGAAATGCGTCAACAAGCGGATCGGGAACCTGCAGACGGATCTGAGCGACGGCCTGCGCCTCATCGGACTCCTGGAGGTGCTGTCCCAGAAGAAGATGTTCCGAAAGTACAACCAGAGGCCCACGTTCCGCCAGATGCAGCTGGAGAACGTGTCCGTGGCGTTGGAGTTTCTGGACAAGGAGAATATCAAGCTGGTGTCCATTGGTGAGTACAAGCAGCGTGGGTGCGTGCGTGTTTGGGAAAGTTTGGGAATGTTTGAGAAAATTGGGGAAAGTTTGAGAGAACGTTTGGAGAATGCAGCGGTTTGGTTTGGAGCGTGGAATGAATGAGGGGTGTGCGTGGAAGGAGCCGCTAGTTGGCAGAACGCAACAAATGTTGATTTAGTCCTGGTATTGTGTCCCCCATTGGACCCAGACTTCTGCAGGGTTCGGTACTGTAGTCCCGCTTTAGATCTGGGACAGTCCCTGCTTCAGTCATTTTTCATTCCTGTATCAGTCTCCGCTTCAGTCCCTGCCTCAATCTTGGTCCAGTCCCTGCCTCAATCTTGGTCCAGTCCCTGCCTCAATCTTGGTCCAGTCCCTGCCTCAATCTTGGTCCAGTCCCTGCCTCAATCTTGGTCCAGTCCCTGCCTCAATCTTGGTCCAGTCCCTGCCTCAATCTTGGTCCAGTCCCTGCCTCAATCTTGGTCCAGTCCTGGAAACCTGTATCCAGACCAGGTGTAATCTTGCTTAGTCACTACAAGTTCCTCAGACATAGTTACTCCTGTCCTGGTAATAGTCCTGAGTCAGTCCCTGCTTGAAACATGACGTGGTTTATGGTTGTAATTATTATGGTACAATCTTTGGTACCTTTTTAAAAAATATATATATATATTCTAAACTTGAGCAATTATTTCTTCAATTGCTTGTTTAGATAAATATGTAGGTTAGAAGTGATGCTCCATTTAATCAATAATTGGAGTCATAAACCCAATTTATTCAAACAACAACATATATAAACGTATTTGCTGCAAAAGATGTATTTGCTCCAGTCCCTGTTTGTATTCATATTTGAACATGCCAAGGTCCTGTTTTACCCCACTTCCTCCCCCCCTCTGCAGTTCCCTGTCTGGGGGTCTCCGGCTCTTACGTAATCCTCATACTTCCATACAAACATGCATCAGCAGGCAACCACTCTGCAAACTGTTCCACAACACACAAGGCCTTTTCCACACAACACTTTCCCTTCCTGTGCATCAGTCACTGTTTGGGTTTGTCCACTAGAACATGGCTCCGTGGGTAAAGAGCGGCGTTTAGTGCGTGGGCTTTGGAGGCTGCAGACACTGGGGTATTGTCTGTGTGCAGGGCTCTGGACAGAGGTGCAGGAGGAGGCAAATGCAAACGGAGGGTTGCGTAAGGATTAGGGCTGCAGGACTTTTTGGAATACGAAAAAGAAGGCAATTTGTCTTTATAACAAAATGGCAAAAGCAATTATTTGAATTCATGCTCTGAACACATTTTAGTATGAGATTGTCCTTTTTCTATATATTTGTTTTGAAGGTGTCCAGGAATTTAAGAACTATTACTTTATTTAAATAATTTTGGCCTTAAACAGGGTATTTTATTGCCCCTTAAATTCTCTGAAATCCATGCCCCCCACAGAATCTGCTCTAATATGGATTTTGAAATAATTTAAATTTTAATTTTATCAAAGCAACAACTACAGTACAACATTTATATTATCATAAACATTGAACCCTAAACACAATCAGTAATAATTCAATGTACACATGAATCGGCGCTATAGTCTTTATTCATTAATGGACCAAATATTTATTATTAACACTGTTAGACAGAGGTGTCTGTGCCGTTTTAAATTCATGATATTGGGGTGACTGGATGGAGCTGGTTTAACTGTAACAAGTTAATGGATTTAATCCCAAGGTTTAGTCGTACCGGTTATAGAATAATTGTTGAGGTTTTATGTCTCAGATATTACTATAACTGCAGAATGAAATGTGTCTACACAAAGTGTTTAGTAGAATGTAACAAGTCATCTCTATGAAGAAGCACTCCAGGGGCAGGCTTCTTCACTTTTATAACAACCTTCCTTATTCACTGACCTTTTTTGGGATTGAAACAACTAATTGATTTATCGAAAAGCAATATCGGCCAACTCATTGATTATCAAAATGATGGTTTCTGACTAATAGTTCAATTTCTAGAACATGAAATGCTGAAGGGAGGTTCAGGGACAAAATTAAGACTGTAGAATATGTTCTTTATCTCAAAGGGAGATTGTTTGACTTGTCGACTAGTTTCAGCTGTAAAAATGTTGCCTGGAGGTTGCTCAAAGTAAAACGTTCTTGCTTTTTAGTACCAGCCCAAGTATTGAGTAATAGTCCAGTGTTGCAATCAAATAAAAAGTGTGAGCGGCCTTAACAGGAGCACAAACTGGTAAAGTGGTACAGTATGTACATATATAGGAATACCGGTGTAGTTGTGGGAAACCAATGAAATTGGAATAATCTGCTTTTATTCACTGTATCATTGCACGTGCACTGTAGCTAGTTTAATCTCAAAGTGAAGGGGACCATAGAGGAAGTGCTCCAGCAGAGGATTTTACTAAATGTATAATGATAAAAAATTGTCTCAAATAAATGCATACAACTTGTATCTTTTTGCTTCAGTATTTCAAACTCTGCATCAAATAGTAAATATGTATAGCGCTATAACACGATATGCATTTTTTTTATAACTAGACATTTGAGCTCGAAAGAAAACATCTGCTGAACGTTATCTTGATCTGTGGTCTGAGCTGAGTCTGCAGGACCTTTGATGTGACCACATTAATGCAGACGTTTGTAAAGTGGCAGGTGGATACAGAGGGACTGAATAAGCCAGTGGGCATGGACTTTGTTTTTAGAGTCAGTGGGTCAATGGAATCAAGTGCTCGATATGATCTTTTTTTATTTTTTTAAACAATGAATTCCAGTTAAAATGTACAGTGACAGACCAACTTGGCTGTGGACGAGATGTGCTTCTGAGAGCGCTTGAGTGTGGAAGTCTCGTCGCTGTGAGTGCAGTTGGCTCATCGCTCACATAAATGCCTTTAATGAGCTTCGTGCAGCTGCTTGTCTGATCTCAAATGTTCTGATGACACAAACAGGCAAATATGTCTCAAGATGTGATTCTCTGCCCTCTTCACCTGGGCACTGGTTCACCAAAGAATTATTTTTGTTATTCTCGGTCGTTTCAATGTTTTAGAATATAAAATAATTTCTTTAGGTAGAAAAACAAAAAATATTGGGCATAGTTGGGCCATTTATTCATAAATTGTAATACAGTACATGTACAGTATATTACTAGTTAAGCCTCTGTCATACTCTACTGTAACAATGATGGGGGCCCTTGCAGGGGGCTGAGGAGAGCCTCGGGTTCCTTCTCCAGACACACAAAATATTTAATATATATGCCGCTCTGGTTTGGCAAGGGCTGTGATTGGTCCAGAAAAGAGTGGTCGAGCGAGCGAGCGAGGGAGGGTGGGAGGCAGGCAAGTGGGAGAGACCAGTGTCTGCACTGAGTGGCTTTGAGAGAATAGCATGCCCAAAAACCATGTTGGTCAGATAGAAGTCCTCATTTAATGCCAAAATTACACTATGCTTTAGTGCAGACAGCCCTGTGCGTCAGTAGAAAGTCTTTCTCTCTCCTGGCTACAGCTGTATCACCACCAGCGTGTGGAAGAATAAATAATGCTGTATTTCAATGATGCAGTCTCTTGGGAGCACAACAAGATTACGGACGTTATGATCATTGCATTTGCGTCGCTGACACCAGGGTACTCTGCAGACACATAACTGTAGAATGTTGAAATGTGCGGAGACCTTTGGGCACACATTTGCATATGAATGATGGCCAGGCCACTCAATCCTCTTACAAAAAGGATGCAAAGTGAAAAAGTGTCTGGTCTCACTGGACTGAACCGAACTGTCCAAACAAACCCCAACTTGACCGATAGAGCGGCCTAACAGAAATGTATCGGTCGTATAGATAAACCACACAGACGGATCGTGGCGCACCAGAGTTACTGGAGTTTATTAGGTTTTCTTCAGGTTCCAGTTGTTTCAGTTTTTTCAGACAGAACAAAGTCAGAACATGGTTTTTATAGTCATTGTTACGTCACACACAGAAAGACATACGTGTCGCAATCAAGAGACAATCAGAACATATCATAGTCATAACATGAATACACAATCATAGCAGTTACACAATCATAGCAGTTACACAATCGGGTCGTTGTGACCTACGCCAGGCCAGGTCATTTGTATAGCTATATCTTCCATAATTGGGGCTTCATCCAGGTCTGTTTTGACACGGATGAGGACCGCCCTACAATATGTGCTTAAAAGGCACATAATCCGCCTGCAAACGTAAGAGATGATAAAGTGGCTCAACCAAAAACTCTAAATCCAAATTAAATCCATTACGGCAAAGTACAAAGTGGATCTATTTTGTAATGAGATATCTGTGAAAAATGCTACTTTCGCTGGTGTAGTTCATATGGGCCATCGAAGACTATATCAATTACTCTTCAATAAATGAAATGTTAATGTAAGCGCTGTATTTTTGTCAAATGTTGATGAATGTTATATTTCTATTTCTTTTTTGAAATATTTTTTACTTTATAGCAGGTTTGATCCAACCAAGCAGGAGCACAACAAACTCTATTCCTTTCCTCAAGTGAGTCCAGTCTGAACCTGGAGACTTGAGGGACTGGGTGGGGTCTGATGTGCCGCTGCTTGGCTGGAATCTGCAGCCACTCTGCCTTTTGTGTTGAATACCCCTGCTGCATCCTATCATTTAGAAATGGATTTAATTTGATACATAAAAAGATGCGTATTGTAGCTTGTCGTGTGTATCGACAGGCTCTGAAGGATACTGGTGGAAAATTGCTTTCTACATTTTATTTTGATTGAACATTCAGCACATTTGCTTGATAATTTGAAACAACTTTAGGCAAGGTATTAAGTATTTGAAAGGTGCTCATCTGCCTCTGTATCACTCTTCTCTATTCTTGTCCGCTTCCTCTTTCCATTTTCTCTTTCTGCAAGTCTTGTAGTGTGAACGGCACACCCATAATGACCCAGGCCGTAACTCTCACCACGGATTACCAAACCCCAAACTGCCCTGAGCTCTTCTCTGTGGCTCTTCAGCTCTTCCTGTCGT